TGTTGATGTAGATATCTTACACATAACTCAGGACAGTGATTCAATATACTGTACTTCGTAAGAATGCAGTTTTTCCATAATAACTTCTACTAAAATGGAAGAAATTCTTGGCATAATTCAGATGTCCCATATTATATTGATGTAGTACCTATCTAACATGTTAAAGTTTCTAGGGATTTCACAGACCTATAGATCTTCTTTCATATAAACTTAAGAATATATGAACTTTTCAAATCTTCTTCTATAGCAAGCACACAAAAGAACTCCTTTTGGATGGATTTTGATTTAAAATTATGTACAAATGGCCCATCTTCGATGGATATCTTTACCATGCACTGTGTTTTTGAATTTTTGCACCCTGCCAAAAAAAAAGAACACATAAATAAAGCTTAATGTATGAGAGTAGAAAACATATATGATTACAATTTACAACACGTCTATGTATGCCTAAAAATGAATTTTCTAGTTAGTAAGAATAACTTACATATGAATTCTGAGCTTCGATTTTTTAGAGCAATACTTTATGCATAAGAGGCTATTTATAACCTCCTTGAGGAGGTTGAGTGCAAAAGTGCCATCTGATTTTGCTGATGATTTTTTTATAGAAATATTTGGGGGGCCTCTATGAAGATTTGTTTTGATTTTTTATTTTTATATATACGGTGTCTAATTAACATGCTGGCTGTTTTTTGGGTTTTTTACAGGAGGAAAGATTCTGAGATCATGGCCGATAGGACTATTCACTATAGAGAACATCTATATCTGAAACCTTTCTCTAGATATTTCTCCTTTTTATATTCATTTTTATCCGTATGTAATGCTTGTTAGGCCATTTGGAGTGGTGTAGTATTAGAAGTCCAAAATGTTAAAGATGTTACTTTTGGACTCCTAATTTCATGTAGTGGTAGGCTAAATAGGGTATTAAAAATGGAAGAGGGGATGGAGGGTGTTAGAAATAAAGGGTGGGTTGGTAGGAGTGGAAAAAAGAAAAAGAAAAGAAATAGGGAAGGGAATGACCAAGAATGCATTCTATGGATGTGAGGATGATGTCATCCCTGCATCATTTTAATCCCAAATTTTTTAAAACTCTTATAATTTTTTTATTTGTTCTCCAACTTTTTCAAAAGATATATCAAAATTTACGAATTTTTATTATCTTTCATATGACACCAACATGTAATATATAAAATGAAAAAAAAAATCTTATGTTTTAACTATTGGAATTTTCTTGAGCCTGAAAAAACACAAGACACAAATTTTTAATTCATAGAGCCTCTACACATAACTGAATATTCCATAATAAAATTTTACTCGGACTAAATTCATTTTTTGTTAACCGAAAAACGTAAAAAAAAATTAATGAAATTGATTTATGTTTACATCGAAATATGTGTTTTTTGTTTCATAATTATTTAGGGAAAAAAGTAAATTGAAAATATTAGTTATGATAATTTAACTAATGTTTTACTAAATTGATATGTGAAAAAATATGCTGAATGTATTTTATTGACGGTGCTGAAATGCAAGGAATAAGAGTCTAAACACTGTTTTTGTCACGCCCCGGACCTACCGGACACGTCAACAACCCGCCGTACAGTACGAATAGTCAACCGCAGTCCAACTCATCCATACTATACTAGGCGTCTCGAATATCATTCACAATAGTACATCCATAAACAAGCATAATGTAAAAATAATCATTTAAAGCAGCGGAAATATTTAATACAAGTGTTCATGCCACACTTTGGCAAACATGGGCATGCAAGCCCCCAAATAATGATTCAAAAATAATATCCATGAGCATTAATTTAGTGTTTAAAAATAGAACGGAGGAAGCACGAACCACGTCTTCTCTCCCTGGGCTCCCCGGAGCAACGGGTGATGGTAGCAAGCTTTACTCCCTACCTGAAACTGTGAGGTGGCCTCCCCCGTGAAGGGGAGGTCAGTACTTGGAAGCATTTGACAAGTACAATGACAACTATACCAAGTATAATCAATGTTTCAATTTCCAAGACCCTCAAATAGAGTGATATCATAATATATTGATAATTCTTCTTTAACCCTTATTATCATCATAATAAGTTAATTAGTTAATTTGTCGGCACGCGGCCCCTTTTCATATTTCATTTCAATCATCGTTTACACGACACCGCCCGTAGGTCTTATCATCCTTACGAGATTTGTCACCGCTCTCCGAGGCCTCACCGGGCTCTCGGACCGGAGTCCAACATCCCGCCCCTGAACTCATACCCATCGTCCCGTAGGAAGGTAAGGTCCATTCGGGGTCCTATCTTATGTGTTACCGCTGTCGGGAGCCTCGTAAGGTCTCCGGTTCGGATTCCACCCTAACCCGTGATCACGATGTAAGTCCATGCTATCCAACCCCGCTCTCTAGAGTCGGGAAGGGTCATGGTCCTTACTAATTACCAATACTCTATCGGCTAATCCTTAAAGACTACCGAACACACCCGTAGGCCAATCCTATTCCTAGGATCAATTTATTATTCACTTTATCTTGGGTATCCCTTAAGGCCTACCCCTAGCATCACTTACCCACCTTAGTATCTCTTAAGACTACTTAAGGCTCAACAATTTACAATCCAAACATTGGATCAATTCTAACATATTTCATTCCAAAACCCCGACTAGTATCATAATACTAGTCGGATAAATTCCAACAAAACTCATTTTCAATTCATAGTCATATAGACAATTTCCAAACTAATTTTCCATTGAAAATATAGTTCATATCAATATACAAAATATAACCTTTAATCACTCATATATCCTTATATGAAGTTAAAGTTATATTTCAACACAATATTTATAATTAATCCCTTCATCAAGCCAATATGCTCATATTACATAATCATACACAATTTATCCTTAAATTTGTATATTATGCTCCTTTATTCATTGACAACAACATTTTCATTTAGGCATTATTAATCATTAATAATCCATGAAAATCACATTTAATTACTTTAGGTAATCCTACGAAATTAACCCAAAGATTATAAGCAACATAGTCAGCCATCCTCACCTTAAGAAGTGCTGGATTAGTTGCCTTTGATAAGCCCTTCGATCAATCCCCGTTCTAAACCGAACAAAAGCTAAATCTGGACTGCCTGGGAAAAAGCCGGCCGGCTTTGGCAAAAGCCGGGCGATGTTCGTTCGTCTGCTGCGCAGGCAGCTTCTCCTTCTTGGCGGTTTCCGGTGGTTTCAACTCCTATCGATTCCACGACTCTTCTATGTTAAATACCACCACTTTATAACAATATTCTACACTTTTAAACGTGTAAAAACTCATGTTTAATTCATCGTATGATTTCTTAAAAATCATACAACATAAACTAGTTAGAAGAGTAGAAGTTGTGTTCTTACCTCTTCTTGCTCTTTGTTGTTGGGTTCTCTTCCTTGATGCTCCTTCTACCCTATGGCCTTTTGAGATAACTCCCTGAAGCTCTTTCTCTCTTGTGTGGTTCGAATGAATCAAGGAGGGTAGGGGAGGAGTCCTTCTCAACCAACACATCACAAGGTGTGGGATAGGACATGGGTGAGTGGGTTTTGTCTCAATGAGACTTCCCATTCCCACCATCCGCACAAGCCAAGTTTGTGTGGCCCCCTCCCTTATTATTTGAGCTAATTTAGTGTATAGGATACCCCAAGTGGGTGTAGGAAGTCCCTCCCAATTATTCCTGCTATTTTCGGTAGGTCGGGCCAAAATAGCATTCGGGTTGTCCAAATATTTTTATCAACTTTGGTTGACCCTTTATTGGGCTCCTTAAATTATTATGATAACCCAACTAAATATTTGGTAGCTCATTCTCATTATTATGGGCTCGATAGAATAATTTAATTAATCGCACATTAATTAAATGTGCCAATCAATCACACGAATTTTATTCGCTAGGCAATTCAAATACATATCAACTTTCAAATTCGAGTACATACGGGCGCGGTGTCACAGTTTTCATATGGACGGAGTCCATTTTTAACTTTTTAGCCTCCTAACCACTACAAATGGTCTTAGAATGGGCATGTAATCATCCTGATTGTACCGATAAATGTGAGAATCTAAATTACTGTTTGCACATCATCATCACCCAATAGAAACAACTTAAAACTTGGAGGGGACACTGTTACCATGCATTTAAAATGCAACAGTGTCACCATAGAGTCTTACACAAGCTCAATGTTACAAACACATTTTTTTACATTTTTTAACAAATTAAATTGATGACTCACTTGATGTTGACACTTTTGAGAGGGAAAACTCAACCCAAAATCATTTTGCTTTTAGATTATAATAATAATAGATAATTTGCAAGTTACAACAAGCTTCGAGTAGAAGTCACATTCCCTTCTGTACAAAATAAATATCTTATGTGAAGTAAAAGGTAAAAGACCCATAACATCGAGTAGAAGACCATAAGGGCTCGTTGGTACAGACTACAGAGGGAGTATTGTCATATAGATAGCTGAGGGGGAGTATTGTTGCAAAATTTTCTTGAATTTCAAAACTCATGATCAAATTGGTGTCACTGGAAATTTAATTTCTTTGGATTTTTTTTATAATTAAGGTGTTTTGTGGCATGATTAATCCTCAAGAAGATATTTCTCTGTTCGGAGCTAGGGTTGCTATTGAAAATCCGAAAACAGAATACTGAATAAAAACACGTCTCTCTAAAAATAAGTTGCTCATGTCTCTAATGTTGTTTGCGATTGATTCTACTTTTAAAGAGAAAAGATCTCATGAGAAGTGTGGGTTAAGTTGAAAAGTGAGAAGTATTCTACACCGTTAGATTAGTTCAAAACGTGCACTCTCATTAAGATTAGAGAACTAACACCCATCGTCCGATCAGATTAGAGACCGCTGCTCTCATTAATGGCAATTGCGGTAAATTATTCAAACTCTATACCTTTTTAATATACGGGCAAGTTTGAATAAAAAAAATATGTCACCCTGCGATCCATTCTCTTCTTCTCTTGACTTCGCCTACTATTCTTGATTAGCAGCTGAGAAAGACCATTTCAGTGGACAATCAGCGCCGAAAAATCTCCATGGGAGGGAGATGAAGATCGGCAGCGAAAGAAGCTCGTGCGGAAATTTCATGAAGAAACACCATTGCTGAATTAAAAGTCATCACCCAAAGCATCTAGCGAGCACAAAACCGATGTTTTAATGAAAATGACGATTAGAGAAGCTCCAAATCAACTTTATTCAAAATCAAGAATTGGGAGGTCTTTGTCGATTGACCTTTGGTGTTGAGAATTAATTTTTCCTGATATTTACTTTTGTTTTTTGTGAATTCAAAATTTTGATATGATTATTCGGATTGAACTGGTATCTTTCTAGTAAAAGTTTTGTTCCTTATTTTTTCCTTGTTTGCTTTGTTGTAATATTTTAATCTGTATATTTGGCTGCACATTGGTAAAAGATAAATCAAATGTTGGTATATTTTTTCCTATCGCCCCCTTGACTTGAAATTCCGTCCCTAGACCTGTTGATTTTTTAGAAGTGCATGTGTTAGTTGCTTCTATGTTAGAATGAATCTATGTGTGCTTTTGAAGTATTGATTTATTGTGAAACTTTTAGATGATTTATATATATCACTCTCAATAATAATTATTATTATTCCTGTGAATGTAGAAAGCACATCGGACAGACGAGTTCATCTGCCTTTGAAAGAGCCTAAAAACAAGAGTAAAATGGCATGCAATAGATCACAAGATTTATACGACATTTGCCGGATCAACGATATTTGTGTCAACCTTCTTAGTCAATGACCCCAACGGCCTAAGTTACAAAGTTGAGAAGGTCCGACCATATGCAAGAAAACCGGAAAGATACACAATGTACAATATCAGGGAAGTGACTCTCAAATTAGGGCCATTGAACACATCAACGTGTGCCGTTCACCACACTGCCCCAGCTTTTGTATTCAGTGCAGGAGGGTACACTGGAAACTTTTTCCATGACTTCAATGATGTGTTCATCCCGCTTTTCATCACCGCGTGTTCTATGATCAAGATATTGTTTTGGTAATCTCCCAAATGAAAGATTGGTGGGTGGAGAAGTATAAGAGCTTACTTCAGAGTTTTAGCAAGCACCAAATCATAGATTCGGACAAAGACAACAGCTCACATTGCTTTCCTGGTGCCTCAATCGGTCTCATCAAACATGGTTTCATGACAATTAATCCAAAACTAATCCAAACTTCAAAAACCTTAGTTGACTTTCACACGCTATTAGCCACGGCATACAACAAACAAGTCTTTGTTCCTCGCATCGTCAATAGGAACATTGGTGTGGGACCCAACGTCACAACTAAGCCGCGCCTCGTGCTAATGAGTCGCAATAAGACTGTTGGTCGTGCAATGCTGAATGAGCCTGAAGTAGAAAGGATAGCAGAGAATACAGGATTTCAGGTAATATTATTTGAACTCACAAGAAAAACATCCTTAAAAGAAGCATTCGCATTAGTAAACTCGAGCCATGCAATGATTGGGGTCCATGGTGCTGGACTAACGCATGCAATGTTTTTACGCCCTGGTTCAGTGTTCGTTCAAATCATTCCAATCGGAGCCGAGGATGTATCGGAATATTGTTATGGAATTCCCGCAAGAGTCTTGGGGCTAGATTACATGGAATATAAGACCAAGACATACGAGAGCAGCTTAGCAGAGAAGTATGGAAACGATAGCAAGATTTTGAATGATCCATTGGCTCTTCAAAGAGGAGGTTGGCCACTCATATTATGGATATCTATCTAAATGATAAGAACTCTTATTTTGTAATAGTAAATTGATTATTATTATTATTATTGAGGTAAACTGTAGAAAGAAGCAGAAGATACAGGCCTCTACTCTCCCAGATCCCAAATTCCCAAATCAAAATCTGCCTACCTTTCCCCTTTCCTCCCTCTCCTTCTTATACTAAAACAAAAGGGCCAGCCCAACTCATGACTTACCTGGCCCAGTAGCTTTATTATTATACTATCACAATTATATACTAGAATTCTATTATTATTATTATTATTATTATTATTATTATTATTATTATTATTATTATTATTATTATTATTATTATTATTATTATTATTATTATTATTATTATTATTATTATTATTATTATTATTATTATTATTATTATTATTATTATTATTATTATTATTATTATTATTATTATTATTATTATTATTATTATTATTATTATTATTATTATTATTATTATTATTATTATTATTATTATTATTATTATTATTATTATTATTATTATTATTATTATTATTATTATTATTATTATTATTATTATTATTATTATTATTATTATTATTATTATTATTATTATTATTATTATTATTATTATTATTATTATTTTTATTATTATTATTATTATTATTATTATTATTATTATTATTATTATTATTATTATTATTATTATTATTATTATTATTATTATTATTATTATTATACTAATGCTAATATGCCCGTTTCCTATCAATACTCCCCCCTAAACAACCACCTTGTCGGTGGGTGATAGGGAATAGCCATGATCTTCAACTTCCACTTCATTCTTGCACCCCTTCCATCCCACTTTCCCAGTACCGCACAGATAGCTGGAACAAGAGTTTCAGCATTTGAACCTTCATCATGATCACTTCCTCAGCCGTGTACTTCTCTAAGAGTTTCACAGCCTTTTCATATGTTTCGTTGTCCAGAATTTGGAGATTCGCAATATATCTCGTAGCCTTTCTCAACATAGGAAGTTTAGAGTGCTCAGTTAACTGACTAAGGTGCTGCAACACCTGACGGAGCAGACTTTCAACCAGCATTTTGTGTGTCCATAGGCTCTCAGGCATATCAGAATATAAGGCCGAAATAATTGGAGGAGTTTTAGTCCTAAAAGGATCACAGAGCCAATCAGTCAACCTCTGTAATAATTCCTTTTATGATGGTTGAAAAGCCTCCTGGATCTCACTGAGGTTATCACCTTGGAGGATTATTCCTTCCGGTGGCTCTAAAATTTCCAGAGCATCAATGATGGGAATCACTGGCAGCCAATCATCTTGATTTTGAACCTTCAGAAAATGTTTCTCACCTCTCCAAGAAATTGGAGATGAATCTGATGTATCAATGCTCAAAGGAAATCTCACTCCCTGAATTGCTCCTTCACTGGATAAACCTGATCTCTGAGATTTCAGTTCATGCACTCCTGGAGAATCATTTTTTGCTACAAGTACAAATTCTTTTTCTTCCAAAGGCATGGCCTTAGTAATAAAGTTGTCTTTGAACATCTCAGAATCATTGTATCTCAGAGAAACTACCACAAATTCATATCTATCTTGATCTGATGCCCTTCTGTTCAAGTAATTTTTTTAAATAGGGACTAGCAGAGACACCTTTTTATTTCTGTGCTTGTCAATAATCAATACTCCAACCTTACTGACGTTCTCAAGTACCCAGTGATAGCAGTGATAGGCCGAATTTGATACATGCAGTTCAATCTCTTCACACCTATTACTTACCAAATAGAGCCCAACATTGGTGCCCTCAGATTTGAGAGTATCTAGCAACAAGGGCTCCAGGTCTGGGAAGTTTTCTTCCCCCATTCCCGTTATACTAGAGCCACTACCTCTTGTAGCAACAAAAATTTCAGGAATAGGATCCTGATGAACTTCAACAATAGCAACATCAGCACTTTTAGACAATTCCTTACCCGAAGATTGAATAAGATCATCGTCTTTATCAGGTTCCAGAACTGATGGTACAACTGTCGTCAACTCAGTTGTAGGCGGCTGAGTTCCTGGTGATCCATTTTCTGATTCAGAGTGGTCTGAGGCTCTGGACGTGGATGACTCCTGTAGGACTGGTGAGGTTTGCGTCCTGTGTGAAGCTACTTGCGTAGACCCTTGCGAGCTGGAAAGATATGATAGCTTTGAACTCAGGGACCGATGAAACGATGTCAGCCACTGAGACGATATCTGCGAACTGGAAACTAAAGTTTGCGATGAATCTGAAGCCGTTCGCGATGTTGATCGGTGAGGAGAAGAAACCTGCGCCGTATTTGATAATCTGGGAGAACTAGTTCGCATCTGCGAACTGAAGGATGTTGTTGGCGAAGACTTCTGCGAACTGAGAGAATCGACTCGCGATGATGAATGGCGATGAGATCGAAACTCCTCTCGCAGTTCGGTAATGGAAGTCGTCACGCTTGTCGCCAAGGCCTCCATTGCTGCACGCAATTCGTCCCTCACTATCCGATTGTCCTCCTTGGATTCCGATTGTACCTCTAGTATCTTTCGCTCCAAGTTATCCAAGCGAATCTCCATTTTAGCTCTGGTTCTGTCCATCTACCACCAAAACGAGAACTTGAGGAAGTCGTGCTAAGATTTCCGATCACCAGGATGAACGCTCTGATACCATTGATAAGAACTCTTATTTTGTAATAGTAAATTGATTATTATTATTATTATTATTGAGGTAAACTGCAGAAAGAAGCAGAAGATAAGACAGGGCACTTCGAGAGGCCTCTACTCTCCCAGATCCCAAATTCCCAAATCAAAATCTGCCTACTTGGCCCAGTAGCTTTATTATTATACTATCACAATTACTTGGCCAAACACAAGACTTACTTGGCCCAGTAGCTTTATTATTATACTATCACAATTATATACTAGAATTCTATTATTATTATTATTATTATTATTATTATTATTATTATTATTATTATTATTATTATTATTATTATTATTATTATTATTATTATTATTATTATTATTATTATTATTATTATTATTATTATTATTATTATTATTATTATTATTATTATTATTATTATTATTATTATTATTATTATTATTATTATTATTATTATTATTATTATTATTATTATTATTATTATTATTATTATTATTATTATTATTATTATTATTATTATTATTATTATTATTATTATTATTATTATTATTATTATTATTATTATTATTATTATTATTATTATTATTATTATTATTATTATTATTATTATTATTATTATTATTATTATTATTATTATTATTATTATTATTATTATTATTATTATTATTATTTTTATTATTATTATTATTATTATTATTATTATTAGTATTATTATTATTATTATTATTATTATTATTATTATTATTATTATTATTATTATTATACTAATGCTAATAATATGCCCGTTTCCTATCACTAAAACACCAAGATGTAAGATTAGATCCTAAAAGGCTACGAAGATGTCTGAAGACAGCTTATCACAAGGCAGAAGTGTTTATGGACAAAAATGGCTAATAAATTATTTTTTGATTTGCTCGATTGTGATTTGTAAGCAAATAAGATGATGGAAAGAGAAAAGAATGTTAGTGTTGTTTTATACTTCGTATATGAGAAAGGCAATAAATATCAGAGAAAGAAGAGATATTTGAATAAAAGAAAAACGATTTTATTTGTAATAGGGCAAAAATATCCCCATTAAGGAGAATAAAAATAAAAAGGAAAGAGCAAATGGGGGCAAATATGTGAACAAAATTGAGTTTTCTTTTGGGTTCTTCTCACGTTAGGAGGAACCAAACAGTGGTGGACCCTTTCCATTTTATACTCATCCCCCTTTTTATGATTACCAAATACAAGTGATTGTTTTTTCTCATATGCTAAAAAGAATAAGTTATGTGCATATATGTACATACATGTTTACATAGGAACAACAGTTGACTGGTGAAGAATCTCATATGCAGAAACAATGTTCTTATTGTTCTCTAAACTCAGTAAAACTATGATGCACCACTCTAGTAGATCTGACTTTTTGTTTTGTAGCACTTCCTGAAGAAAATGTATGTTATGCTGCACCCACACACAAAAAACATTTCTGTCAAAAAGATTACTCATAAAGGAAAACCATATACCAGCATATGGTAAGTAGGGGTGGGCATAAAAATCCATAACCGCGTAACCGGTATTTTTTTGGTTAACCGTACCGCGTTTTTAAAGACTTGTGGTACGGTTAACCAACCGCAAAGAAAAAATAGTAACGGCAGGGCCGTCTCTAGGAGTTTTGATGCCCTAGACAAAAAATAACCAACGAGATCACATAGTACGTAAAGTTAATAACAAATTAAACATGATGTAATTAGGGAATTATAACACTTTTTTTTACTAAATGTAAAAAGTAATACTTGACTTAAAGTTGATATATATAAAAGTATTCTTCTTGTCTTTTGATGTGCAAAATTGATATAAAAATTGGTTAGAAACAGTAAATGATTCTAAGAAATAAAATATAAAAGTACTATCTAATAACATATTCTTCTTGTCTTTTCATCATGTGCAAAATTTGTAAGTACATCACTACAATCAAAAGTAGATAACACTCTTTTTTCTATAACATAGTCAGTCCACTTAATCTTTCTTGTGACATCGTTGAGCAGAGATATATGGAAATACCACTTAAATAGAACAAGTTTCAGACTGAATTTGATAAATGAATAACTTCAAAGAAATTAGAAAGAATATATGGTGTATAACACAAAATTCAAATTTAATACAATTAATAAATAACAACTAATAAATTGGATGTAAAATAACTCGTTCATAAATTTCAATTAATCAATTTCGAATTTATATGTGGAATTCGGATGAATCAGTTAATATTTACAATTAATAAATACTCTAATAATTAATTAATTGAATGTAAAAGAAATCACAAATTGAAAAGTTCTAATCGTTACCT